CTGGCAATAAGCTACCTACATGCCAAATTTCAAGCAAGTCGCTCCATAGATAAGATTTTTTTCAATAGAGTGGTATATGGTCAGAAAAAATATTCTTTATGTTAACCCAGGAAATAAGCTATCTACGTGCCGAATTTCGAGCAAATCGGACCATAAATAAGACTTTTTCGAATAGATCGGTTCCTGGTCCACTTAGCGGAAAAAATGGATCCTGTATGCTAATCTAAGCAAAAGGCTACCTACGTATCAAATTTCAAGCAAATCGGACCATAACTAAGATTTTTTCGAATAGATTGGCCCCTGGACCACCTATCAGTAAAAAGTATCCTATATGGTAATCCACGCAAAGAGCTACCTACGTAAATTTCAAGCAAATCGGACCATAAATAAGACTTTTTCGAATAGATCGGACCCTGGCCCCCTTAACGGAAAAAATGGGTCCTATATGCTAATCTAGGCAAAAGGCTACCTACGTAAATTTTCTTGGTAAAAGTGCACTTCAGTGGAACCAGGCCAAAATTGGAAAAAAAAAATCAAGAGGGGTATCAATCGTCGCGTTTTAACGCGAGTAATAACAATCCGAGACCGGAAATTAAGATTTTTAATTAATTTAAGAGTTATTCGCAAAAAACACTTGCACTCTTCGCACATGTTTTGATGGATTTTACGCAAATAAATGGAGTAAATGAACTCAACTTAACACGAATTGATTATAAAAAGTCATGTCACGTTTTAAGTGTAAATTTTCACGAGATTCTGTATTTAATAGGAATATCGCAATGTTCAATATCCGCACAACAATCTTGTGAAGTAAATATAAATAAGATGGAGGAAAAGTAGTGTTGCCACTCTATTAAAAATAAAATGGAGGTAAATTGCTGCTGCCACTCTATTAAACAAGTTTTTGAGCGTCCAGCTCCTTCCTGCGTACGCGGCCTTCGGCCGCTCTTCAGGATTATAACCCTTACCAAATAGAATTATCCTTTTGGTGTGCCCCAACTGAGGTAACTAGAACTCCCTTTCTGTGGGGTAAACATGGGGCTGCCGCCCCAGTGATGTCTTAGTGCAAGTGTTTTTTGCGAATAACTCTTTAATGAATTAAAAACTTTAATTTCCGGTCTCTGATTATTATTATGGGCGCCAAGACGCGTCGATTGATGCCACTCTCTACTTTTTTCCGTCG